TATCACATCTCAGTCCAGTCGATCCCAAAGGGCATTCTGAGCAACAATTTAAAGTATGAAATAAGTACATATTTTATACAACATATAAGAAGTAAATATTGAAATCATGATACACTAGTACACGATTTTTTTTAATCTGGGAAATTAAATTGAGGCATAAGTCATTTTCTAATAGACTTTCACTTTCTTTATTTCAGTTTTTAAAAAGGATAAAGGAACTGGCTTTTTGCGCAGAATATCAATTATTATGGACTGGTGTAAATTTATATCTTTCCATAGCTTACTTATACATTCTCCACTAAGTTTGTAATGATAAGCACAGCAAACAGACTTGCCCTCAGCACTGCAATCACAAATAATACAAGATTCGTCTTTGGGATAATATCAGTAATTTGCCTTATTTATGCTTTTATTATTTTCTCTTACAATGCTTTTTTTAAAAACTTAATAGACTCATATTTTACATTTTCAGTAGCAAATATTTATTTTACTTTTCCATGATTAATGTTGAACTTTTTTCCTCTATTGTAATGAACATTATAAATGCGTAGAAATTTGCGTCTATAAAATGAAGTCAAATAACAAAAGTCTTACTTGTATCCACAGATATTGTCGCCAGTAGAAGACGATATCGTGAAAGAAAGCAAAACATGAATAAATGCAATAACAAAAGAGCGAATTATATTTTTCATTTTGATTTCAATCATTCAGAATTCTCTTTGTACCAACATGGTCTAATTTAAAATTCTCCAGGAAAACAATTTTTTTAAGCGGAAAATCCAACTGAGAAGCACTTATAAAAACCTATGATTATGTTGTACTCAAGGACAGCTTTTATCTGTCATTTTAATACAATATAATCAGGAAATCAAATTTAAAAAAATGCGGCTTAAAATTAATTTTGTTGGTTTGACATGAATCCCATAGACATAATTGAAACTAAAATATTACAATATCATATGTTGGTTGAAGTCATTACTTGTGTACAATTTGATATTTAAGTAATAAAAAATTGATTATAAAAGCCTGATTTTTATCTTTTTATGAACTTTTTTTTTAACAGAATATTAGCCTTAAATTTGATAATCTTATAAAACATCACTGGACTATCAACCACAGATAGCGATCCCCTATTTAAATTGGGCATGTTTAAAATAGTTCATGTCTTGCATTTTTGTAACGAGTAAATATTATATTGTCGTTACTGATACATGTATAATATTCCAGGAACTAAAGTCTCAAACCGTCATTTGTTATGCTTGATATGTCAATTGGGTATTTTTATCGATCTAATATAGTACTCATTTCCCTCCAAAACTCTAATTACATCTATATTTTCCCCACTTAACATGTCAATATAAATCCAAAAAAATTAGCTCTTATAATTTTTTTCCAAGGAAAATTCTATTTTTTATTTATTCTAAGACTACAAAAATAAAATAGATCACCAAGTAAATTCTAAAATAAAAGAATTATACGCCCCGTAAATGAATGTCGTTACATTAGATTAAAAAATATTTAAAATATTGAATATGTATATTGATAAACAAAGATTGTTAGATTTAGAGTTCTGTGTTTTAGATCTTGTTGGTATATAGTTAATCCCATCGTCATTATAATGACCTTGTTAACAATATCATTAAGCTTTCATTGAGTCGTGATTTTGCAGACTTGGTTCATACCAGTAACAATTATCAAGTCTTTATTTTGATACTGAATTTGAATGCGAAAAACTGTTCCATTCATCTGATCAATACTTACAGTCGATGTGACTGACTAATGTGAGATGCTTAGTTCTTTTAGGCACCTGATTCCAGCTCTGAATTTCCAGGGGCTCCTATTTCATTCATATTTTTCCTAAGATTTCTCTTCAGTCTATCAATCTGTCTGTGAAACACATAGAGATAAAGAACCTATTCAAAATCAAAAGTCAATAAAACAATGCAAAATAGAAGCAGAGCAAACATTGACTCCAAAAACATTAGGTGAGATCATGTCTCATTGAGAAGTGAGCATCCCCTGCCGACCGGTTACACTCGCCTTGTCGTGTGTTCCTTGTCATGATCGGGAAATAACAAAAAATTTGTCGTCAATTCAGTGTATATATAATGAACTTAGAATTAGAATTAGAAAAGTTAGTCAGCATTTAACGCAATGATAAATTGTATTTGCAAACAAGGTCACTGTATCGACCATAGCGCTTACGAAGTGATGACTTTAAACGAGACTGCTGATATTCTTGTTTTATCAACTTGTTTGTCAATAATTAACCTTGTTTTAGAAAATGTCCATACGTAGATCATGCACTTGCATATTGAGTCAACTGAGATACATTTTTGAAATAAAATATCCAAATATGAAACAGATGTCTCAGACTCTATGGTATCTTTCATCTCAAGCTCACCGAGGTACATCGTGTCCACCGAAGAATGGAAATAACCATTGTTATTTCAAGTGTTTTCTTCTTTTCACGTATACGATTTTGGAAAAATTCTACTTCATATGAATGCAAAAATATGTCTGCTAATAACGGGGGGCAATTGGAACCCATGAACTTTAATAATTGTGGTGGATAGTTGTGTATAAAGTTGAAAAGTTATAAGTTTTGTAAGCTGTTGAATTTGGTTAAATCTTATTATTAAAAAAGTGTCCAAAAGTTCCTTGGAAATTTTGATTATCTACATCTGATTACCACCACTTCTTGCATATATCGTTGCGCAGTGCTCTTGGAGTTTCTCCTTCGCTACTGTTAATATCTTAGTAAGGAGTAAAGAAAAAGACTCGGTTGAGCATTTTCTGGAACCTGCTATGTATTTTTGTTTGTAAGATTTCTAAGCAGTTTTGGAATCCAATATAGATAATGCAGTTCAAATTCATTTCAAATCTTTGGAATATTAAAAATATTCAAAACTGATATGATTTTGAAGAATTTCGAAAGGGAACCATAAATATAAGTTGAATTACCATGTGTAGATTTAAATCCCAATTCTTTTCAATACAATTTATACGAAGAGCCTTACATCCGAAGACAATGTAGTTTCCTGCTTGTCAGCAGGGACTAGTATGGGTTATTAAATACAGAAGAAAAGATGTTTTTTTACATTACCCCTCAATCTTTTAATACGCGAATGTAACATAGATCTAATGCATTCAATCCATTATGACAAAATGTCAGCGTCTTCAATTTCATATCTGGCCCATCGCGTGGCGCAAACTTCTACAGAATCCGTTACATTTTTGAAATTCCGACGCCAGTTGAAGGATCGGGATTCCCTATATCTAGGACCTTTTAAAGTTATTGATCTAAAGTCCTTGTTAATAACTATATCCTGTAATAATGTATCCAGCAGGACTATAACTAAGGGATGAAGACGAAATTGAGATTAATGATACAGTTATTCTATATTCAGACCCTGTAAAGTTCTTGGAAGTAATGATCGATGCATATTTATAGGAAATACATGGTGTTGTCTTTAATTTGAAATTTAGTAGAATGCAAATATGAACCATTTTGTGATTAAGGATATTACTGATAATAACCGCATCAATTCCTTTGTTGGCATTTGGAAGTTTTAGCTGCATTGTCGTCAGTAAAACAAGAGGGATTAAAAAGTCTATAATTTGCAATACCCGGTATCCATAATCACAGATCCGAGCCTTTGCTCTGGTATCGAGGTATCAAAAATGGACTTTCCTTGACCTGTTCAAGAAGACTATTTAAAAGTTTCTAAGAGACAGAATAAAGTTTGGTTGAATATGATGTAGACCCAACTGTTGATTTACATAAGGTAGTAATGAATCACAAAAAACATCGTGTATTAAAGATTCATTGTAAGACTGATGCCCATGATTACATTAACGTCTCTGCGTGTGGTGAAAAATTCCCATCACATTTACATTGATACACTGTGGACTGTCAGGACCCTAACACTATCGACATTTATTGTCATTTCATTCAAAGGTAAAGGTCGTCCAAAACTTTTTTAATCCAAAATTCTTTTAGTTCTCAATGGAAAGGTGTACTTTCTGACGAGCTGTTGCTTTGGTTGTAAATCTTTCAAAGAATTCTATTTTTCATTGACAAAATAGAATGATCAGGTAAATTAAAATGCTTGTATAAAAGTGGTTTGCCCCCATTATTCATCTGAAATCTATGACCTGATATTCTTTTATTAAGTGGTACCTGGGTTTTAACAACATAAGTCCACACAGATTACATTTTATAACGTAGACAACATTATAAGATTTGCAGTTCAGATTTTCCCAAGTTTTTGAACAAGAACTTCGTCTAGTAAGATTACCGGTGAAAGAAAGGTCTGTCTGTCCGTTTGTCCATCTGTCTGTCCCTCTGGTTATCAATCTGTCTCATTTGGTGTTTTGCAAATGTTTTCTAAAAGCTTGCAGCTGAGTTTGGAAAGTGACTTAATCTTGATGAGTTATAGATCAAGTTTGGATTTGATCCGCTTCAATCATGTCAATGACTTTTGGTGGAATTATTTCATTTTTATTTTTTATCTAGGACTAGACCACTCTCGCCGGTAGGGGACGACTTGAATCTCTAATGCAATATTTTCAGCATGCTTTTCATTTTAATCTTACTTTTTTATCATGTAAATTTTGAATGTACTTGAGGAGATGGTTAAATCCAAAATTAACAACATGATACACGTTTGAAAATTTATACTTTTCTTTCCCGTAGAGAATTCAAATTTTACTATACGGTTATAGGAGTATCGCTTTTAAATTACTTTTAGATGCTTGTTTTTCGATCTTCGATTTCATCGTTAGATCGGACACAAACTTTTAGACAGCAGCCCGTAAAAAAAAATTAAGAGGCCCAATTTATGACTGCATACAGCAATATCGATGATACATTGTAAATCTTTCACAATCCTAAACTATATTTTGTATTTTTCAACATAGGAAGTCATACCCCTCTGCATGACCACAGAAATATGATAATTTCCTGATCGGAAAGATATGAATAAACTACAAACTTTTAAATGTTTAAAACATCTTTATAAGAATCTGTGTATACCGTGATAATCAGAATATATCTATGATCAAATGGAAATTCATTCGGATAGGGCGGTAAGGTTTTAAAATCTTCATTATAATAAAAGAATGAATATAATCAAAACATCCAAGATGCAGTATAATCATGTGGACATGTTATACTCATCCATATCAACATGCCAGATTATGACGACACGCTACTAAGCATGCCAACATGCAATTACACAAACTCGATACTCAAAGGTAGTCTAAAGTAAAAATGTTTAATTGCGTGTAGTATAAAGAAATAACCGTGAGAAGTAAAACTTACCAACTTATACAGTCAATTAGTTGAATATTTCTTTGTTTTTTTTGCAGATAAATCTCATTGCTTTAGCGTTATCAATTTTTTGTCTGTGTCTCCCACCAAAGAAAGTTGCCAGCCAGTTATTATACAACATAGACCAGTATGACAGATGTAGATATCTTGACGAGCAAGATATTAACAAGTTGCTTTCATTTGTTAAATCGTTTGAGAAGTCCAAAATACCGCTTAACAATTTTGCTGTGAACATTGTAAAAAGACTAGAAATTCTTGAGTCAAAAGGTAAAAATAATAAAATACGTACGTGTAAAGCATTTTTAAATGAAATGTGACAATGCAAATATATTCTGCACATCTATAGAGTAAAGGAAAAACAAGCTTTTTGAATAGTTTCAGTTTTGTTATGTATCTTACAGTTTGTGGTAAAAATATTACGTATTTCCAACAATCGTGCTATTTTCTGTCACTCGAAAAACAAACATGGACACAATCACAGGTATTTTAAAATCATATTTTTTCTATATTGTATATGTTATCCCGATGTTTATATTTTCATCAATAAGATATCTTTATTTAACATAGAAAAGTTGTGCATCATACGGCGGTGTGCTGGCGGAAATTGAAACTCCAGAGGAAAATGATTTTATTGTTCAAACCATCTTTAAACCATATGTAGAGGATGGTAAGTCAAGCATATAGAAAAAAAACCCAAACACATGTTGTATAAAAATACAGCGTTGATTTAAAAGTTATTTTGTACCATTTGGTCAAACAAATAAAAATACTTGCAGCTGGTACTACATTTGACGTTTTCCCTGGGTCTTATTCTGTGCAGTTTTCAAGTTTATTTATTATGCTCCCTTCCAAAATCCCCATTTTTTTATATCGACTTCTTTAGGTACTCAGCTGATAATTAATTGAATAAATCTTCTATTATTTCTAAAAAAAAAAAAAAAAAATCAAATCTACTATCTATCTAGCTATCATTTTTACCTGATTTTGATGAAATGAAATGTAACATATACTACGAAAAACAATATTATCACAGATAATTCAATTTATGCCGCTATGAGAAATATATTACATTTTACACCTAAGGATAATTCTGCATATCCCTGCGCAGTCTGCAGGATATGCGCCCTTATCGCAGCGCAATTATCATAGAACCTTTCATTGCGAAATCGCACCTTATTTTGTTTGACAGAGTTATCCAATCAAAATCCTTGATTTTGTTGCGCCATTTTTGTTCGGCCTGCCTAATTGAAGACCTACAGGTAATTGAAGACCTAGAGAAGACCTACGGAAGACCTACAAAAATGTGCGATATATACAACAAAACTTATGTGATATTCTGATTAAGCATGTCCTAAATATAAAAATTACACAAAAAAGTTTTATAAAAAGAAGTTTTAAAGTGTATTTTTTAAGCTCGGTAAGGGGAACTATTTCTTCTCTCAGACGACCTACGGCATGAACGATAACTCTGGCTGACTTGTCTTGTAAACAACAACACGCTCATTTATATTGTGAAGTTTATAGGAAGAATATGAAAATAAAAAATCCAAATGATTTTGTTGAGTTTTCAATTATGAATTATGATAAATAACTAATCTGGATTATGTATTTTGATGAAGTTAAAAATTTAAAATGATTATCTTGATTATTTCATTTATCAAATTAATATTCTACTTGAAATCTATAGTTGATATTTAATAAATATTTTAATTCTTTTAATATGTTTTATGGGATAAATGTTAAATATTCAAGTTTAAATTATTGATATATATGTCGTGGATTTGTCTCTATTAACCAATATCACTTTGAACTAAGGGCTTCCATCTTTACTAGTGTGTTGTATCCACACGCACCATGCAGAGGATATATCCGTGTTTTGATTGCAATTATCAACACACCCCACTACCTCTGATGATTGTTAATTTGCAGTCAACAGAGCAAAGAAATTTTTAAAAAATATTATACATGTATTTATTACATATTTTTAAAATGATATGAAGAAGAAAAATCCATTCAGAATATAACTAAAATGAATTACGTTTTGAATATATTTTTTTTAATTTTCAAAATGTTCACTCTCCTTTTTTCAAAAATACACATTTGTATGACACTCAGAAGGAAAATTTATTAATAACTTAAATGTCTATTTCCAGATAACATGCTGTATGCCAAGCAATGCGTACTTTTTTTTGGTTACATTCTGAGCAAAAATATCCAGTATATCAATGTTGAAGATACCAGATATATAATAATAAAATAATTACATTGAAAGAAAAATTTACACTTTTTGAATTGAATTTAACATGTTAAATTAATTACATGCATGTTATCACACATAAGAAGTACATGCATATTTTATAAAAAAAAAAAAAAAAAAAAATATATGATGCTTTGACTCGGGGGGAAAAAATGGATTTTGAAATTGAGTGTGTCTGTGTTCCTTTTTGAAAAAAATTACTTCAAATTCTTTTAACTTTTAAATTTTTCATTCTCTAAATAAATGCAAATCTTATAAAACTTTCCAGGAGTTATCAATAACATAACAAGGTATTGTTAATAACACGAACACAGATCATTCAGTCACAATGAATTTTTATTAATGATCAACAGTTCAAACCTGAATAAATATTACAATACCTATTTACAAACACTATGAAATACTGAATATAACATATATACATGTGTATGTACTTATAATGATTTTATGATTGATTATATGATGGTATTATGAATTAAGTGCAGTGTATATGTCTTTACTTTGTAAAGTTTTAAAAACTTTATTTATTTCAATAACTAAAATATATTTCTTTAACAAAGTAGAATTGTATCTGACTGAATATTTCATTTTATTTATTCATCTTTGATGTATATATCTAAAATATCTTCAATGATTTTTTTTCCGTCCTTAAATATTATTATTTTAACTACATTTTTCTGATAATGACATTTTCTTGATATGTTTTGGTGAACAGCTGATTTGTTATTTACGAGAGTTATCGTTCTTGCTATAGGTCGACTGAGAGAAGAAATAGTTCCTCTTACCGAGCTTAACAAATACACTTTAAAACTTCTTTTCATAAAACTTTTTTGTGTATTTTATACATTTAGGACATGCTTAATCAGAATATCACATCATTTTTGCTGTATATATCGCACATTTTTGTAGGTCTTCCGTAGGTCTTCTCTAGGTCTTCAATTACCTGTAGGTCTTCAATTAGGTATTCCCATTTTTGTTAGCCTGGCAGTGCATTGAAGAAAAAAAAATGTTTATGCAAAAAGGGACCTGTGTACATGTGGTCTAAGATCAATTATTGGTCAACTTCTTAGGGGAGAATCATCGGTGCCTGTAATTTATCAATTTTATGCCGTGGAAACTATCCTCGTATCGGGGAACCTATTTCGGTGGAGGCACAGATGGTGTTTTGGCAGTTGCTGTTTACTTCGACAACCCCCTACGAAGAATTTGAAACACGGGGACCGCTTTAGCCCATGCACTGGAGAAGTTCTAGGAATGCAGTGTTTGTGCATTCCCGTCATTTAAGGGCAGTATTGTTTTGGTCATTATAACAAAACAAATAATGTTTTAATGTTTACATATTTGGACATATGTTTGGAGCAGCTTTTAAATCATTATTTTATTCATACGTCATTATGGTTAAGCTGCATGCCTTTATAAAATACAGGCTAACTGGCGGTGCAACAGGGCAAATCATTTTCATAATTTTATATTTATTTACCATACGTACCTGTTACACTTCATGGGTTCTCCTTATGATTTGTCTTTCTGATGTTCAGTAAATACATAGTATGGAAATAATAGTATTTATGTCGAAACTGTTTTCCATTTAATTATTTAACCTGTATCGTTTCCCCCATTACGATACCCCCTTTTCATGGAGAGAATTATCAGTTGTCTCGGCGAATGAAATCTCACTTGCGTACTTAATCTACATGCATTACAGTCATTCACTCATTGTTCCATTTGAATATTCTGCAGCTGCATCAAAATTGTGAATTTTATATGACTGTTCGATTCTGCAATTTTACCCATCCTGTTTACATTACTGGAGTTAATAACTTGCCTGATCGTGGAACCTGTTTACGCATAATTTATGGTATCCTGGTTGGTTTAGCGAATTATTGTTTACACTTGAAATATTGGTTTGTTTACAAACACATGCACATGTTGAATCAATTCAGCAGATGAAACTTTCTCAGATGGTATAGGCCTATCTATGATAATTACTGAATTAGACATTTCTATACAGTGTGCCATTTATAATCGTTCCATCATTAGAACATTGGTTTTTTTTTTAACTTATGGGAAATATATGTTGTGTCATTGTGATTTGAATGCATTTCAATCTTCTGCATTATTCAGTATGCACATCTGAGAAAATAAGATAAACAGAGTGCAATAGATTATCTACACTAAATGTGTCAAAGGGGTTATCGCTCAATTAACCTGTCCGCTGATCTACACATGTTTGTATGTTTGGTTTTTTTTTATGAATCTGTGTTCAAGGTCAACTGGGTCACCACGTGATGTCAGCTGCAGTATCGTTGATTGTACTCTGGCCTCACCAGGGGGTTCTCGGGGAGTCTCTCCTATCCTCTCTGATCCTGGCTTTGGATGGAGTCCACCTGCAGTAAACTTCATTCTTTGTCCAGCCTGTGAGGAATGTTCTTTTGCTTGTGCATTTTATCATCTTTTCAAAGAAATAAGACCAGTACACTATTTTTGTTCTACATTATTATTTTTATATAGCCTTAATTAAATTATGCTCAGCTCAGAGCTATATAAAAATTTGTGTACTGCTCCTTACAATACTTTGCATATCCAGTTAACAATTTAAAGAATGTTTAACACAGTTTCTCTAATGATGCAAAGATATCAATGAAGTTGATAATCATTTTTTGCAGCATTAGAAACAGGAAACATTTGGTAATTGCCATATATCTGAAGACATGTTAAGTTTATTTACTAGCTGCCTTACATATAATTCTTAAGAGGCATTATTATCCCTATAAGGAAGACTCTGCAATTTTAAAATGTATTTTTATGTTCAGCAAAATCCTTAGTGGGTTTTGCAACATTAAATATATCGTTTCTTTTTATTCTATAAGTAAAAATACTGGGAGAAAAATGGTTCAGAAAAAAAAAAAAAAAAAAAAAAAAAAATAAATAAAAAAAAAATAAAAATTAAATAAATAAATAAATAATAATAATAATAATAAAAAAAAATCTGAATCAGGGAAATGTTTTAATATTGCAATCAATGTCAATTATATTTTCAATATATTGTTTCACTTGTACAATGTGCAGTAGAAACTTTGGTAATGTTTTCTATATTTCTTTTAAAATATTCTAACAGTACTATTTTCAATAGTATTATAGTATCAAAAAAAACACACAAAAAAAAAAGAAAAAAAAAAAGAATTTAGTATGAACATTAAGAATATGTTCAAGATACCTGTGAAAACATTCAATATATTGTTGCAATATTGGTGGAAACATTCAGTATAATTTCGATTAGTTTTGTTTTGTTTTTGTGAATGTTTAAGGTTTTGATGGAAACATTCAGTGTAATGATTAAAAGTTTTCCTGGAAATTAAGTATTTTATATCAAAACTTTGGGAACACATTCAGTTCAATGTACCATTGTTTTGTGCAAACATTCAGTATAATGTTTAAAAGTTTTTTGAAGATACATTCAGTATGCTTCATTGTCTTTGTGACAACATTCATTGTAAATAATATTTCAAAGTTTTTGTCTTAAACATTCAGTATAATGTTTCAAAGTTTGTGTCAAAACGTTCATTATGATATTTCAAGTTTTGTGGAAACATTAAGTACAATGTTTCAAGTTTTTGTGGAAACATTCAGTATAATGTTTCAAGTTTTTTTGTGTAAGCATTTAGTTTAATGTTTCAAGTTTTTGTGGAAGCATTCAGTATAAAGTTTCAAAGTTGATGTTTAAGTTAAAACATTCAGTTTATGTGTCAAGTTTGTTTTGGAAACATTCAGTAACATTCAGTTTAATGTTTTGAGTTTTTGTGGAAACATTCAGTATAATGTTTTTGATTTTTTGTGGAAAAATTCAGTATATTGTTACAAATGTAATGTGTAAGCATTCAGTATAAAGTTTCAAGTTTGTTTTGGAAACATTTAATAGAATGTTTCAAAGTTTTTGTGAAAAATATTCAGTATCATGTCTCAGTCATGTATTAGTGTTTGTGGAAACATTCAGTACAATGTGTCAAAGTTTATGTTTAAACAGTCAGTATAATGTTTAAGTTCTGTTTTGGAAACATTCAGTACAATGTGTCAAAGTTTATGTTGAAACAGTTAGTATAATGAATGAATTCTGTTGGAAACATTCAGTATAATGTTTCAAGTTTTTATGGAAACATTCAGTATAATGTTTCGAAGGTTTTTTGGAAACATTCAGTATAACGTTTCAAAGGTTTTTGTGGAAACATTCAGTATAAGGTTTCAAGTCTTTGTTTAAACATTCAATATAATGTTTCAAAGTTTTGTGGAAGCATTCAGTATAATGTTTCAAGCTTTGATGGAAACATGCAGTTTGATGTTTCAAAGTTTTTGTGGAAACATTAAATATAATGTTTCAAAGGTTTTGTGAAAACATTCAGTATAATGCTTCAAACTTTTTATGGAAACATTTAGTATAATGTTTCAAAGGTTTTATGGAAGCATTAAGTATAATGTTTCAAGTTTTGATGGAAACATGCAGTTTGATGTTTCAAAGTTTTGTGGAGACATTCAGTATAATGTTTCAAAGGTTTTGTGAAAACATTCAGTATAATGTTTCAAATGTTTTATGGAAACATTCTGTATAATGTTTCAAAGGTTTTGTGAAAACATTCAGTATAATGTTTCAAACTTTTTATGGAAACATTCAGTATAATGTTTCAAAGGTTTTGTGGAAACATTCAGTATAATGTTTCAAGTTTTGATGGAAACATGCAGTTTGATGTTTCAAAGTTTTGTGGAGACATTCAGTATAATGTTTCAAAGGTTTTGTGGAAACATTCAGTATAATGTTTCAAGTCTTTGAGGAAACATTCTGTATAATGTTTCAAAGGTTTTGTGGAAACATTCAGTATAATGTTTCAAGTCTTTGAGGAAACATTCAGTATAATGTTTCAAAGGTTTTGTGGAAACATTCAGTATAATGTTTCAAAGGTTTTGTGGAAACATTCAGTATAATGTTTCAAACGTTTTGTGGAAACATTCAGTATAATGTTTCAAAGGTTTTGTGGAAACATTCAATATAATGTTTCATAGTGTTTGTGGAAGCATTCAGTATAATGTTTAAAGCTTGTTTCAGAAACATACATTATAATGTTTCAAACTTTTTATGGAAACATTCAGTATAATGTTTTAAAGGTTTTGTGAAAACATTCAGTATAATGATAGTCACGTATTAGTGATTGTGGAAACATTCAGTATAATGTTTCATAGTTTGGTATAATGTTTAAAGTTTGTTGTAGAAACATTCAGTATAATGCTTCAAATTTTTTATGGAAACATTTAGTGAATCTTTCAATGGTTTTGTGGAAACAATCAGTATATAGTTTCAAAAGGATTTTGGAAACATTCAGTATAATGTTTCATAGTGTTTGTGGAAACATTTAGTATAATGTTAATTATATCAGTAGAAACATTTTGTTTCATATTTCAATTTGATGAGGAAAGAACTTTCAGTATTATGAGAAACTTAAATAGATATTTCAATAATTCTTTTCATGCTGTACATGTAGCATGTCATCAAGTCTGTTCTGAAAAGTTCAATGTAAATTGTTTCTCATTGTGTTTGGGTTCCAGCATCTAAATATTCGTAGGCTTTAGTAGTGCATTACACTCGTACACTATTTACCATGGTATTCTGTTACTTGTAGCAGTACACCGATGCCAAGGGCCAACCTGAACTATAAAGGGATCAACACCTAACCTCAGTACCAACCAAGGCACATAATGGAGAGGCAATGTACCCTACAAATTTCAGTTCAGATGGCGGAAATTGTGCATTATTGGAACTTCATCCCAGCTTCAAAATTGAAAACGTGAAAATTAAAACCGTGAAATTAATCCCCTATACAGTATTCTGGACATGATGTCAGCTTCATAGTAAACTGTTGGAAAATGATGCCACCAAAGATTGAAACCCACACCATCAGGAAGGGCAAGCTACACACTTAAAATGCTCAAGCTCATCTTATGGATTCTATGTTGATATCTGTGTTGAATGGCAAATATCATTTTCTCCAACATGTACTGCCAAGGAACATCATATACAGTAAATCTCGGTTATAATGAAGTCGCTGGGATGCATGAAGTTACTTCGCTATATCCGTAATTTGTAATAACCGTACAAGAAATTTATAAAATTTATACAGCCTGGATCCAAATTGAATTCGCTATATCCGTGAATTCGCATTATCCGTGTTCGTACTAAACGAGTTTCACTGTATAGAGTAGTTAGCACCTGTCATTCATTTAATGTGTAAAATAAGATTTTGCAATGTATTAGCTTCTTATGTAACATTAATTGTTCTATCATTAATTTTGTAAATCTGGTCAGTAGTCCAGTAAAGTGTTTATCAAATATTCCACAATGTACATCCTCTATAGGCATCAACTCTGTATAACTCAGCTCAATTTTAATGTCTTCATAATCGGCTTTCTAATATCAATGAGTTCAGCATTGAAACTTGCCTGCATAGTCTTTGAGCTACATGTAAGATGACGGCTACTCATTTAAATTGTATGTTGAAATCTGCCGGCATAGACTTGTGTTAAGATACATAGTTCAGCAGAGAGCTGCTTATGTAAATTGTGCTTCAAAATCTGCTTGCATAGTCTTGAGTTAAGATACATTAGTTCAGCGGATAGCTGCTCATGTGAATTGTGCTGAAAACTCTGCTTGCATAGTCTTGAGTTAAGACACGAGTTCAGAGGATAGCTCCTCTTGTAAATTGTTTGTTACAATCTGCTTGCATAGTCGAGAGTTAAGATACATGACTTCAGCGGATAGCTGCTCATGTAAATTGTATAATAAAATGTGGCTTGCATAGTCTTGAGTTAAGATACATGGCTTCAGCGCATTGCTGCTCATGTAAATTGTGTGTTAAAATCTGCTTGCATAGTCTTAGTTCAAGATACATGAATTCAGCGGATAGCTGCTCATGTAAATTGAATGTTAAAAACTCTGCCTGCATTGTCTTGAGGTTAGATGAAGACCTACCTAATTTTACATTTATACTAAACATTCCTTGCAGTGATTTTGGCTTCTTTTGATCCACAATTTAACAGCTAACAGGTGAATGTTAATGTCTTTGTTGCATCAGTACTTGTTATTTGTCAAGAACACCTAGTCTAAAATGTATGTGATATCATATGAACTTCAACTTCAATGTTGTTTTATATATTTAAAAAAAAAAATACTTCAAAAAATGCTGTAAATTTCAGTATTTTTACTATTTTTATAAAAATGTTTTCTTTTGATTTTTCTCCTTGTTTGGCGTCAACCCCTCACTGCGTGACACTGCGTGAGGGCTTGTGGCGCAATTGTTTGGACGCCTCCAAGGATTTACTCATTTATGTTATATTTTATGCATATTTACATGTACTCTGATATGTTCACTGCATGTAAATTTCTAGTCAGTCTCAGGGGGATCACAGTTGTACCTTTCACCTGTGTACATGTAACCTGTATTGTTTAATATTAGATGATCCCCCTTCATGATTTGTTATACATTTTACCATATGTCATTAAATAAAATGACATATTCGACAAAACTGCATATCTGTGTTTGGTTGTTTTTTCACTGCACTTTCAGGCTGATATTTCTCATAGGAGGCATAAAACAATATTATCACAGATAATTCAATTTATGCCGCTATGAGAAATATATTACATTTTACACCTAAGGATAATTCTGCATATCCCTGCGCAGTCTGCAGGATATGCGCCCTTATCGCAGCGCAATTATCATAGAACCTTTTATTGCGAAATCGCACCTTATTTTGCTTGACAGAGTTATCCAATCAAAATCCTTGATTTTGTTGCGCCATTTTTGTTAGCCTGGCAGTGCATTGAAGAAAAAAACCCACCACCCACCCTTTTGCCTTTTTGTGGTTTATGGTTTTATATTATTTTGCATTTTAGTCCAGATTTGTATTTTCCTAACTAACTTGTCATATGTTTCTTGATTGGCGCAATTGTTTGGACGCCTCCAAGGATTTACTCATTTATGTTATATTTTATGCATATTTACATGTACTCTGATATGTTCACTGCATGTAAATTTCTAGTCAGTCTCAGGGGGATCACAGTTGTACCTTTCACCTGTGTACATGTAACCTGTATTGTTTAATATTAGATGATCCCCCTTCATGATTTGTTATACATTTTACCATATGTCATTAAATAAAATGACATATTCGACAAAACTGCATATCTGTGTTTGGTTGTTTTTTCACTGCACTTTCAGGCTGATATTTCTCATAGGAGGCATAAAAAAATATTACAGCAGATCTATGAAGTTGATGTATAAAATCAAACCTCCTTCAGAGGAAAATCGATACAAAGAATAAAAAAAACTGTTTTTACCAAATTAGCAAAACAATTAAAAAAATTAAACTGAATGGATGTCTTTTTCCTGAAGGAACATATTTTTGGCTTGGAGCATCAGACATGAATAAAGAAGGAACATTTGTTTGGAATTCTACAGGACTGCCTCTGAAGTTTAGTTACTGGAAATCAGGGGAACCAAACGACATAACTGGTAACGAGGATTGTGTCCATGCATACGTTGGCGAAGGCAGTCGATGGAATGACCGCGCATGTACGGATGTTTATAGATTTTTGTGTGAAATAAAGATTACATAGGATATAGTTATAATTCTTACAAAATTAAACAAAATAATTTTGATGTTGCTCGTAAGCCATTTAATTGCTTCATTTAATCTTTGGATTCTTGGCAGGAAAATTTCTGAGTTTATACACATTACTAGATATAAGATTGAATGAATAATGCTCATAAAAGGCCGGTTTAGTTGAAAATTGCAGGATTGTGAATTGTACTTTTTTCATCATTGTGTTTAATTCACGTGCTCTGTAATGCATGTATTCAGTATCAAAATTAAAAAAATCTACAAATATACGATTTTGTACTGTTTTTTCAGCAAGTGTTGGACCATATAGAATACAATGAATTTAATATATTGTACATTTCCCCAAAATCATGTACGCGAATTTCACTCCATTCTTGCCATTTATTCAAGAATTTCTTTTGCTAGAAAATATTATTTCGCCTGGAAATGTGCATATTTACCCAAGATGTGGTTTAGAACTTTTAAAAGAAATTACTTAAAAGTAAAATATGGTTATATGCATAAAACAATTTTGTTTTCGAGTTTTTCTTCGAAACAAGCACACTCCTCATTTCTAAATTTTATTCATAAAAAAATGTTGTGTGTCTAAATGAAATTAAAAGATCATGATGAACTGAATTTTTTTTTACAAAAAATAAATGAATAAAAAAAATATTAAGTAATGTGTTATCAATGTTTAATTTGTATTGTATATTAGCAATCCCTGTTGAAAGACACCTGATGAAGAAGTAAGAGGTTGAAAGAGGTAGCATTTGAGAAACTTCAACTGTCGCCAAAGGGTATCATACGGGGACATCATTGTTTCACAAACACATTTTGTTTTAGTTATAGTGATTTTTTTCCAAAAATTTTATAATACATGTGGAACAATTTGTAAATGTGATACACTATTCCTTCGATGGTAACGCAATTCTGGAGTGGGGCACACACTTACCCTTGACAGCACAATAGTCATGGGGAAATTGTTTCAAAAACAAAAACAACATGATCTTTTGATTCGGGTGCATCGAGATGAACAATCTGCACTTGCTCGTTGTACGATTTATCCTTATAACTGTGTTTTTGGAAAAAAAAATGTTTTCCTTTTAGATCAGAAAACATACAAGTACTACTTTTGACCCCAGAATGTCTCATCTACCAGATCAAGGGCTTACTGCGGGTGTGACTGGTAAACAGGAAATGTTATTTCTCCTATTCACTTGGTCCCACCTCACGATTTTTTATGTTTTTAATTCATGTCCCTTTTAAATATTTTTATTGTTTGTCTTTTTTAGATCGATTACTGGTCGTTATCTTTGCATTTTTTTTTAATTTTCAAAAATTATCTGCATATGTTTGAAAATAAAAAAAGGTTCACTTTTCGAGCTATTTCATAATTTAGGAAATTTGTCCCCGTCTTTCAAAGAAAATGTCATTAAACAGTAAATTTTTGGGTGTTTTTCATTTTAATCAAAGAGTTGCTGAGGGGCAAAGTTTTGCTATAATCAAGTATGTTGCCCAGCAATGGATTTGATATTATCAAAATTGCATCCAGGTCTAAAAATAGATATATAATGTTTTTGACCTTAAGGTTAAATAATCCTTTCTTTGTTATGCATGTTAAGAAAAAAAACAATTGGGACTGATGATTGCTCGAAAGTAAAAAGGTCATCTATTGTTTACCTTAACACTTCTATAGCTGAACGACTTGATTTGCAATTAAGAGCAAATTCAAATGGATGTTTAAAATGAAACCGTTTGGTATTAATTTGAGTAAATATGTTCTCTTTGAAATAAAGTGACTTTAAAACGTGAATTGATTTCAAATTTCAATGCATTTATATGAAATACGGATGTTAGATAATGGAATATAATTAATGACTCCATGAGTAAGATGTCCAATGTTTGTTTAATTTAAAGTCCAATTTTGGTAAAGAAAAATTCAATATTTCAATAGATAATATACCATGCTATGTGTATTTTATAAAACAAAAGATATTTTAAAGAATGAATTAAAGGAATATTTGTCCATTAAAATGAAACTAAGAAATTCATTGAAAGTAACACATGGAAATAACAATCCTTGATATCGCGATTACTTAACTTAGCAGAACTCTTTCGCGAAGGAGGTAGGAATCGTCTGTTGGGTGGGGGCAATGTGCTATTCAATACAATGCAAGATCGATCATTGTAGCATTTATAAGGACAGATAAGTAAAAAATCCTGGTGGAATACCTCGCTAAACAATCGCTGAACCAACCTAATATATTTTTGACAGAAGCCAATCCTAAATTGTCACATTTTTAACGATATTTTTAATGAAGCGGACTCTTCTCGTTAAATTTTAATTGAAAATCGTCACATTCTTAAGCAGATAAAATATTCTAAACTTTCCTTATTTGACAATATACTATTTGGAGTTCAATATCTGGCAAAACATCGTGATTTCGGCATTCAATTGTTCGAATCATAAGAAATGTCATTTGCCCCCAGAAATTTAGACTTTTCTCGACTCCCCCGCAAAAGAGCGGTAGTAAGTTAGATAACTGCGAGGTACTCTTTGGTAATCGCGATAAAACGTAATGAGAGATATACAATTCTTTTTTAGGATATAACTTGCACCTGCGAAAAAAGAAAGTTTGAAATTGAATTAAATTGTTACCAAACTACGACATTGCCAGTAATTAGTTATACATTATATAAACTGACTGCGTTATGAATATATTAAATAATGAATATCCATTTTTCAACGAGTAAAATAATATCTACATTTGAATTTACGTCACTTCTTTCAGATTTAAGGATTTTAACTTCGTTTATTTAAAAAAAGTTATCTGTAATAATAGAGTAGATGATAAATACAAGTCGCTTTAAACTACAATGTATCAATAACTGAAAGACATTTGTTATTTTATAAATTTATCTTAAAGAAATGTTCTTATCATTAATACATGTATTATTAAATATGTTTTGGGTTAGGTTAAAAAAATTTTTTTTCGTAAAAATTCGGGAAACGCATATCAATTACCCCCTCGATACTTTGGAACCTTGTGCCTGAGACGGGAACAATATTTCAGTGGTCTTTCCCCATAACCTCAAGACTACTGTTCCTCTCATAAGTTATTTTGAAATAAGTGTAAACTTGTATTTGGCATTGCTTCTTTATTTCTAAAATTGTTATTATTATAAAACATTACTGGCTTTTATTATTATTATTTTTTTGTATCACTCAAATATCAGGTTCAATCAAAACCATTATACATCACGGCATGCAATTAACGATCATAGGATTTTTAAAACTTCTAAACAGTCATATTTATGCATGGTTGTTAGATCAATCAATTTTTCGTTGCCAGTAACAACTTGTCTGCCTTTTAGATAGACTACTTCAATACTTGATCTTTTTAACGAAATTTATCAAATTTGTAACCTTTTTAACGAATGTACATATTTTGAGTTCGTTATTTATGTATATTCATTTTAAACTATTGTTTGAATTAAACTTCCAACCTTCGAGGACAAGGAAACAAATATACATATCAATTAGTTTTTAAGGATTACATGTATACATACGCCTAGATATCACAAAATTCATTTTTGATTAAAATCGTTTTTTTAAAATTCGTGTTTTGACCAAATTTATTACGGAAAGTAAACCGTAATTACAAACTTTCAGATAGCATGGGTTATTATCATTAATTTTTACAAAATTTTGCTCTGTTTACGAAATTCTGAGAGTCAAAGTAATTTTATTATACATGTTTAACGGCACATGCTATAATTCACACTTCAGAAAAATACTCCTTTATTTAAAAATTTAAATTGGTATCATATAAAAAATTATTTTATTTCATTTTCGTCATTTCTTTATTCTGTGCAGTTAACACTTATTTCATCTAACGAAACTAAATGCGCATTTAGAAATATAATTATGCTTAATTATTATTATTATTATATGCTTAATAAAAGTCATTTATTTACTAATATCATGGTACTTAAACGAAATGAAAATTTTAAATACATTTATACAGTGCATGTATATTAGATAAAGATATTAGACACGCATAATGCTTAGTGTTTTGAATTAAACGTAATTCTTAAAAACAAAAATGATCAACTTTGTCCTCATTGATTGGTCAAATTCAAAGTAAATATTTTACTTCCATTTAGAACTCTTTTGAAAACCAGACTAGAAAAATTTGGGCATTATCTTATATTTAAAGTTATAAATTATTACGACACTATTTTAAACATATGGATATGGTCACTAATTTATGGATGACTTGAATAATGTGTTTCAATGATTACCGTTAAATACCTTTTAATGATTAACAGGACATGTAGAAATGCCACTATCCACTTTAAAAGTAAAGAAACATAAAATTCAATATTTTAGTAATATTTTAAATGGTATACGCATTTTTATTTCTTTCTTTTTAGGTCTTTTGTACAGGAAATGTATGTAATAAACACAATGCATTTTTCACTCATTTGGCGGACTAGCTAGATGCTCTAATATTTATAAGCTGTGTATCGTAAATTCACGTCATTGATTTCCATTATATAAACATACATATTTGATGAAATCAGAACATTTACTAAATTTCTTATTGTGAGAATTCCAAGAAAAAACTTTAGAATGTATTGGATAATATTACTTTCGTATAGTAAGTAAAATGATAATGGTAAATTATTACTTATTTAAGAAGAAATACTATTCACATGTTAACAATTTTGGACAAATTTGTTACATGTGATTGGGGTAATAAAATTGTCATATGAGCTGTAGAAAGAAATGTAGTAAAAACACGAAAATATTTACTTTTCGTTGGCGCTTTTTCCTGCCAATACTAAATGGAAGTTATCTGTTGCAAATTTTAAGTCGGTGTTACACGGAAATACCGTAAAATCATATATTTTCGTGGGGTCAAATTTCCGTGGTTTGAGAAAAATATATAAATTCATGGGGATTTGATTTCGTGGTTGAAGAATTGTTCAGTATAAATATATGTGAGAAATTGGAATTTGTTGTGGACATAAATTCATTGGTCTCTTCATACCTTCAAAATCACGTAAATTACCCCCCCCCCCCTTAATAAAAATAAGTGATTTCACAGTATATCTAAAGGATTGGAATCTTTAAACAGGGTTTCATGCATGTCTTTTACTTTTTTTTAATTTTACAATTATAATAAAATAATCAATCAAGAGAAACAAAATCAGTCAAACCCAATGATTATGATGTTCATTGTGATCAAACTTACTGTTGTATATGTTCTTATAGTTTATTATCATTCAACTAACAGATTTTTTTGTTTTTATCATTAGTGCTCAGAGTAAATGGTAATGCCTTACAAGATGTACCTTTCCAACAAGCAAAACTAGGACTCTACACTGAACTCATTTCATTTGCTGTGGAAAAAATAAATGGAATTACCATGATTAAATGTTCCATTCACTGCGCTTCAAATGCAAACTGCTTTTCCATGGTTTTCGATTTAGACAGAGGACTATGTTTTCTACTTTCAAAGGGGATTTCCGTTGATGCTTTAACCAAACCACATCTACCGACAAACATACAAGCTTTTACAAAAGGTAACTCTAAATAAAAATGTATTTACAATCATCTTAAACCTTAAATCATATATGGCGAATCTGAGCGAAAAAAAAAATTAAAAATTAAGATAAGGGCAGATTTAAAAAATATTTCTTATTTACGTTAAATTGACTCCAAAGTATGTTTATTATTTAATTCCGAGTCGAAAATACATGTATATCGGTTATTTTTTAAAATCTGTCATATCTATGAAACACGGTTTATTTAAATTGTGAAATTCATAGAAAGATCTTTTTAAATAGAAAGATCTTTTTAATTTTAGTTAATCTGAACTTACGCCATTTATGACCTTAAAATAACGTTACAAGATATAAGTACCTTTGACCATAATACACGATAAAGGTGAATAAAGATAACTTTTTTTGTTATGTAAGAATTGATACCGAAATAAACGCTTAGATAGCTAGTATAAAGTAATTGTAAATAATTTTTTAGAGTAGGTTTAAACGTGATAATTGTGATCATAATAAGAGTCAGGATAAACTTCCACGTTTTTTGTCTTTCTCGATCATGACAAAGGAGCACAAAGGGGTTTGACCGGTCGGTCTGGGATGCTCACTCCTCCATGACACCTGATCCCTTTTCTAATCTTTTGGAGGTCCGTGTTTGCCCCGCAACTATTTTGTAATGTTATATGGACTTTTCAGCTCAAATACTGTCAGTTATATCTACATACTTTTACAATGTATTTTTTGACAGTGGAGTTTCATCAATATTGACAAAGTTATCTATGATAAACTGTGCGGATTGCATTATTGGTCGAATAATAGCAATATGTTTTCCCAACTTTGTGTGGGTTGAAATAATACTAAGAAGAAACAGATAAAAACAAAATTCATGTATTTCAAACTAACGTTTGGGGAGCGAAAGAATATGAAACAGATCAAACAATGTGTTCCACTGCTTCGTTTGGGGAACTAATAGAATTATTCCATACTGCGAGTGTGGGATAGTGAAATTCCATCAAGGGGACACGATTCACGGCCTAGGACGAGGCTTTTCCGAATTCTATATCTTGAATTCTGGCCCCGAGCAGGAATTTCACCATACCAAACGAGTATGTAATAAATGATTATTTTTCTCGCATTATTTTATAAAAAATAACGACATGTCAATATCATCGCCATTAGGCTAAAATACACATTTAAAAAAAAATCTATCTAATTAAAAATCTGAATACACAATCAAAGAAACCATGCCTGAGTTCCGTTTATGTAACTTAATAAAATGAATTTCAGTCCACGTACATAAATCTGAAAGAGTGCCTGTGGGAATAAAATATATTTATCAGATATCGTTCAGAAGACTCCCGAGATCTAAAAATAAGTGCCTTATACAGAGTGAAAATACGAAAATCTTTTATACAAAAATACGTTTATTTTAATAAGTTAGATAACAATTTTTTGGTATATGTGATATTTTTTCACCATTGTTATAATTTCTTTATATAAAGAAGGACTTTTAACGTTATTGTCATGCAGCGTAGTACTGTGTACAGGGTTATTTTCGCCCCGTGTAATTTTTGCCCTCTAACACATACAAACAATTCTGCCCCATTTTAAATTCGCCCACTCATAGTTTTATTTCAGAAATTATGATGTATCCTTTGAATTCGCCCGCCCAAATGAAGGTAGGGCGAAAATTAAACGGGGGCGAAAATTTCCCTGTATACAGTACGTATTACACAGAGCAAGACAGTAAAACCTCACACTTAATTCTGTCTAACACCGGACAGGTCTATCTAATACTGATGTTAATGTAAGAAATAATGAGTACTCATTGATAGAAAATCTATTATCATGTTCTAGATGGTATAAAATGCTCTGATATTGGATACCAAGAGTCCAACTGGCAAAATGATAGATGCTTTAAAGCCCACTTCGACACAAAAACAAAACCGGAAGCTGACAAAGAATGCGCTAAAGAATACGGATTCCTCGTACAAATTGATTCCGCCTCAAAACATAATGCAGTAAAACAGTTTGTCCAAAGTCTCCCGTCAGGTACATAACTCAAATAACGATGTGTAATAATGTTTAAAATTGCTTTGAATTAAATACATCATTGAAAAAAGACATAAACTATTAGAACAAAAACTTTAAAACTTGTTCCCATTTAATACATGTAAGGGTTATAATTTGGCGTCTTTGAATATATGTATCATTATATATATTTGACTATTATATTTTACTATTCGAATTTTTCTCTCCAGGAAATAAGTTTTTTATTGACGGAAGTGACAAGGCTAATGAAGACGATTGGCGCCTTTCAGATGGAAATCTCCTCTATCTTGACTGGAAACCAGACGAACCAAATAGTTGTTGCAAAATGTTTTCTAAAAACTTCTGTATAATTCTATGACTTATATGTTGCTATATCATTTCATACAAAACTATAAAAAAAAAATCATAACTTCGAGTTCCTAGACGCGTCTGGTTGATACAAACATCAAGTCATTGTACATGTATACAGATAAATAATGGACTAACAATTAGTATGAAAACGACAGGCAGAATTTGACTCAAAGATAGATATTGTTTTTGATAACATTTATGGTCCAAAGAACTTTCGAAATGATGACTTTAGACGAGACTGCTGATGTTCTTTTTTCATCGACTTGTTCGCCGATATTTTACTTCGATTTAATTCTTACTTAGAACATGCTCTTGCATATCAAGTCAAACTTAGATACACATGTATATAAACTCCGTTATCTTTTCTAAACTAAGGAAAAAGAACATCTCGATGGTTTCTGAGATTTTGAAAAATGGAAAATTTAGTACTTTATGAGATCTTTTAGGCCAAAGAAGAAATTGTCACTGGAAAATTTGAAAACCACATATACACTAGACAAAATTGCTAACGCACCACTTGTTAATTCTTATTTGTGAATTGAACATTTGCCGGATCGGTGCTAGTGTTTATAATTTGTTATTATTTCCAAACACTGGGATTGTCAAATGTCTTGGTATCATAAAAAAACCCTTGAATGACTTTTTTGTCCGAAATCCAATTTCCAGCTGTGCACTGCGCATCATTTTTGCTCATATATGAAATTCTTGATCACTATAGGTGGTTTGTGAGGTTGCCACAGGAGTAGACTGCTAGTTATAAATCAAATAACAAACAGCCACTGACCCTCATATCGCCTAGTAATCATCCGGTGCCTTAGTTTGCGTACCAAATCCACTCAACTTCCGGTTGATCCAGTTTTGTGGAACAATTTACAACTTATTGTATGCTGCTTATCGAATGCCATGGCTATCTATAGTAAACATTTTATTGTTTGTTAATCTATTTGCAACAATATTTCATGATTGGTTTTCATCAGCTTATAATTGTTTTCATTTATTACAGATTTCTCTAAAGGACCCCACTGCAGACGCCATACTGTATTCTTTAGCACGCTCTTCTAGCATCAAACCGCATACGGCGTAACCTTTTTCCTGGGTTTTAATTAGTACAAGTATAAAGAACACAAACACAAAGAAAAACATTGAATTTTTTCTTCGAAAACAGAATAGACACGATTTTATTTTTTTATTCTATGAATTGGTCACACTTCAGAAAACATTGAAGTTTTTTAATAAGGTTTGACAATGACATGCCTTTTTTAAAATTAATTTAACATACTGTATCTATACATCAAATACATCGTAAACAGGTTTTTATAAATAACATCTTAATTTTCTTAGGTGGTGCGTTAGCAATTTAGTCTAGTGAATGTTGTCTACTTAAGTGTAAGCAGTGTCATTTCATAAAATAACAAAGTTTTCTTTGTTATTGCTAGACAGTAAAGATATATATTATATTAAGATGTTAATGAGAGTAGCTTGAGACTACTATCTTGAATGGACTATATGGTACGTGTGAGGGGAATTCTTTTTATTTATAATGTTTAGAAGTTTAATATGTCTATGATTATGAAAAAAAATAAAAAAAAATTATTAGTTTGATGTTATTTGGACGCTTTCTAGAATAAAATAAACAAATTTCAACATGTCTTCAATATGTCTTTTAAAAAAGTGTTTGTACAAAAGTTAAAACAAAACTGAGGATGAACTATTATTTCTTTTAATGGAAACAAGGGTTTAAAGATAGATTCTTCAAATTACCTAGAAAAGGCGGATTCTTGCATTTTTCGGGCAATATTGGATGCAAAATGCTGACATACTGTTTTATAGCATGAAAACCCACCTCAGTATACTAGTATTGAGAAACAATGAATGTTTCCCAATAGTTTTGAGACTCATTGAAGAAGTATTTATACCGTTAAACAATAAGTCCGGTTCCTGAACAAGAAAATTTATTTAATTTATGCTTTGAAGGATGACTCTTTTTATATAGCAACAGTTGACTAAAAATAGATGCAGTGTATTATTTCGAGGGGCGTTCAAAAATTACGCGGACTCTGCTATTATTTACTCTTACAGACGTCATATAGTTATGACAATTCACAGAAAATAAGTATCTCAAAGATTCCAATACATATTGGGGAATTTTTTTTTGTATTTTAAAGATTCTTCTAAAGTTATTGCTGTGTTGATATCGCTGATGGAGAGGTACGGTGCACGAAAAAAAAAATGAAACAAAAACTTGCGGAATCCAAAGTTTTACTAATTTTCTCCAATTCGCGATAATTTTCGACAATTTTCTCAAATGTATCTTGATATTGTTTTATTATTATGTATGTAAATTCTGACATGGTATTTGCAGAAATATAGTGATTTTTCTTCGGTGGGATTCTTGTGAAAATGACTGTAAAAATGACGTCTCCTGAATTGACGAAGCACCACCTTTTTGTTAAATTATGTGTAATGCTCGAGTATCGTCAACATATATCCAACATATGCTTAATAAAAACATGTAGTAAACTAGGGTATTCGTGAAATTTGCCTACAAATAGCAAATTGGAATTTTAGACCGTTAAACTTCTGTAAAAGGGCTATACGGTAGGATGGGACAATAACTTTACCCAGACTGTAACAACGTGGTTGAAAGTGTCCAATGTCACATGATATCTCATAAATACCTGCAGTGCTTGGTTTTAAACAAACAAGATGTGTTTGTGAAACACTGATGCCCCCGTATGGCAACATGGCAAAGATTAAGCTTTTGTAAATGCAAATTTAATTAATTGGTACCAAAAGTAGGGTATTTTTACTGGAAAACAATTGTGAAAATTGAAAGTTGGCCAATGTTAAAGTTTTTTTTCAATAAGTACAAAAATTTCCAAGGTCAAAAGGTCAAAGTAATTGGTATCCGATGAAAGGTCTTGCCATATAGAATACTTTTGTAGAGTATGGAAGCCCTAGCCCTAACCATTCAGAAGTTATTGTCAAGGTAAATATTTTTCATAAGATGGTCAAACTCCAAGGTCAAAGGGTCAAAGTTCTTGTTTTCAAAGAAATGTTTTGTCACAAGGATTAAATATGTAAAGTATGAAAGCACTAGCCCTAACCCTTTTAAAGTTATGGTCAATGTTTGATTTTTTAAAGTAGGTCAAACGCAAAGGTCAAGGTCAAAGGTTCAAAGTTCTTGGTATACAATAAAGGGTCTTCTCACAAGAATTACATATATAAAGTTTGAAAGCCCTATCCCTTGCCGTTCAAAAGTTATGGCCAATGTTTAAGTTTTTTTTACAAATACAAAAATCTTCAAGGTCAAGGTCAAAGGGTCAAGGTTGTTGGTATCCAGTGAAAAGTCTTTACACATAAAATACATTTGTGAAGTATAAATGTCCTGGTATCTATTGTTAAAAAAATATGGCGAAAGAAAAAGTAAAAAAAAAAATATGTAAAAGTGGGTCAAACTCCAAGGTCAAGTTCAAAAGGTCAAATTTGGTGGTACCCGAAGAAAGTTCTTATCACAAGGAATACACATGTGAAATATGAAAGTCATGGCTTCACAAAATCAAAAGTTATGGGCAAAGTTAAAGTTTTTGCGGACAAACAGACAGAGACAGCTGGACACACAGCTAGACAGACAGACATACAGACACGACAAAAACTATATAGCCCCGAAACTTCGTTTACGGGGGCATAAAAAGAATATGTTTTACTTGTTTTATAGGTTTTAAACTTGAAAAGAAATGGTGTATGGATGTTGAGAAGATAATGTAACTCAAACTGTACAGGAACTCTTAGAAAATGTTGAGAAAATGAAAGCTCAGATTTTTTATAATGCCCGTGACGTCGAAGATTTTGCTGCTCTGTGACTTAATGGTATGTCCAGATAAATCACCCAAAATTGATACCAATTTACAACATTTTAAATTTGATATGAAAGTTTGAAGACCATATAAGTAAAGATTCTTTTATATTATGTATAACATTTTACCCGATTATGTCGTAAAATATTTTTTCTGTGCAACGAGTCAGCGTATTTTTTGAATAACCCTCGTAAGTAAGACATTATGGATTGAATACCATTTCAATACTCTCTTTTAAAGAATGTTAGATTGTTGTTTTAACATCATTTTACATTTAATCGAAAGCAATATTTACAATTCTTAGGAACGATTGTCGAAAAAAAGATTTTCCATTATGTATATTTGCACTGTTAGAGATTCAATATCAAGACCTTGCCTTATACGCGAGTTTCGAGGTTGTAACTCGCCTACAATAGAGGCGCAAAAAGTAACCATTTCAGCATGGCGGTAAAACAGGTTGTTTCTGTATACAAACCTGCATAAATAAATGAATATTGATGGCTTTTAAAATTTATTGAATGTTATAGAAAATTCATGATGTATAACAGTAATGCATTTGATGATTTTATCAAGCTCATTTGTGCATATTTACAAATCTACTTTCAATTAAAGGGTACTTGAAAACGAAAGAAACGCCGTAGTCTTTATAAAAAGTAACCGATTTTCTTGATTGTACAAACATTTTCTAAAAAGTTAGTGGGGTTTTTGAAGTTATAATAAAGAAAAGAATCAATGTGTCATTTAGATTGCCGACTTGCTATGATCAGATGAATGTGTACCGTATTTTTTAGAGGTCCATATCTCTTCCCTCGTCTGAAAAGTCTCACATCCACTGATGTTTTTTTTTTGTGATGATTTTTTGCTTTTAAAAAATGACACCTTTACATAAATTCGATTATTCTCGAGTTGTAGAGTGCATCCTAACAATCATGTAGTTATGATAAACCAGTATATCGATGATGCAATGTATCCAATATATATAATATTTCTCACTTGTCTGTTTACGCGGCAACGAAACTACCTCCTCAGCGAAAGAGTGCACCAAGGGAGATAATCTCGAAACTTGCATATTGCTTTGTATTTACACTGACTTATTTTGTGTTTGC